GCCACCCCCTGCTGAGCCCTCCCACAGCCAAACTTCCACCCCAGCAAGCCCCAACTAGCTGCACCCAGCCTCCCACCCCACACCCAACCCCCCACCGAGCCCCAACTTCCTTCACTTGGCTCCCCTGCAGAATTCCTTTCCCCCCTACCCAGAACCCCACAATGCCTCCGGACCCCCCGTCGAGCCAGCTGCATTCAGTGCCCCACACAGAGTCCTGACACCCCACACTTGGATTCTGCCAGGCTGAGACGGGGGGGTTCTGAGACTCTGTGAGATTCGGTCCCTCTCGTCGGCTGTGGAGCCGTAAAGACGTGCTCACGTACCAAGGAATCTATTTGTCAAAGACCGTTGCCTGACGCGTTTCTGCGGCTGCCTTGTCGAAACGGAGCTGCTGATGGGCACCGTGAAATAAGTCACCCGAAGAACTGAAAACGGTGGGGTTATACTGCGTCGCCCTGGCAGCCCACACATGGCATGCAAAGGCTGTACTATGTTAGGCACAAATAAAGACGTGCTCACGTACCAAGGAATCTATTTGTCAAAGACCGTTGCCTGACGCGTTTCTGCGGCTGCCTTGTCGAAACGGAGCTGCTGATGGGCACCGTGAAATAAGTCACCCGAAGAACTGAAAACGGTGGGGTTATACTGCGTCGCCCTGGCAGCCCACACATGGCATGCAAAGGCTGTACTATGTTAGGCACAAATTTCCCTCGGGTTGCTTTCTAGCTAGCTCCGCTCTCCGCCGAGCCCTGGGAAGCCGGGACGTGGCTCTTCGGAGGCTCGTGCATTTGTCTTCTTGGGGACTCGGTGGCCGCACGCGTACAGAAACCCACGGCGTCGGCGAAACCCGCTGTGGTAGGTGGGGACGGAGCGTGCAGCCTCCCCACAAAACCACAGGCCACACGAGCAAAGAGACTCCGGCTCTCAGAAGAGCAGCACCTCACCTCCTGCTAAATACCCGCCAGGCACCAGAAAGAGACCAGGGCCACACGTGCCGGTGTGAAGGGAGGGGAGTGGGGAAAACCCGCACCAGCCCCCCACGCCCAGCCACGCCCTCGCCCGGCGCCCTCTCACCCAGTCGCCGCGGCCATGACGCAGCCGCCTTCATCCGGGGTGGCCTCCACGCAGCAGCCCTGGCTGTCGTGGCTCATGCCGAAGTTGTGCCCGATTTCGTGCGCCATGGTGGCGGCGGCGCCGATCGGCAGCTCCGAGTGGTCCTGGGGGGAGGGAGGGAGGTGGCAGCAGGGCCCCCGCCGGGCGGCTCGGCCTGGTTATGGAGCTGGGAGCCCCGAAGGGCGGAGACGGTTTCCCTGGCGACGAGGGAAGCGGAGGATGCTCACGGCACCTCACCCAGCTCGGAGGGGAACCAATATGGGGGAGGGAGCCCATGTCAGAGACCAGGGCCGCTGCTCCTGTGTCCGGCTGTACTCCCGAGCGTCCCCATGGGGAGAGCGGAGGGGCCCAGGGGAGGGTCAGATCTGGAATGGGGAGTCAGCCCCCTGCGGAATTCCACCCTGAGGGGCGCAGGGCCAGGACGGTGTGGCCCAGCCCAAGGGCAGCCCCGTGAGAAAGCGGCAAGGCCACCGACTGCAGCGGGAAAGGGCTGGGG